TGGGTTGATGTTTGTAAGAAATGCTTTCATTCGTTTTGGGTGTATGTTTTTTTTTTTTTTAATAGACTTCAGGAACAGGTACTATTCTGTGTCCCAGGACACAGTGAAAAGCCTTGAATCGCTTTCAGTAGTCTCACCTTTCTGTGTGAAGGGTATTTTCAGTTACAGTCTGCCACAGATAGAAATGTCACCTCCTGCTTATTTTACTGGGGAGGATGCTCCTCCCTTTGAAACGGGAACCTTGCTGGAAAGCGGTGCTCCTTTGCTCCACTGTAACTTTTTCCGGCATTGCCGGAAACTATATCAAGATCTGTTCTTTGCTGCTTTTATCTGATGCTGTGTACTTTTTCTTTAGAGCTCACGTAGTGCCGCTCTTACCTTTCACCCCTGACTTCTGCATCGGTTTCAACTGCTTCTACGTTTCATGGTGTTCAAAGGCGTTAATGGTGGGAGTCTGCCTGAGCTCCTTCTAGTTACAAGTGGCAAGGTCAAAAATGGTGAGCGCCTTTTTATTTGCCATATACAATCTAGTGCTACAAAGTATGCAGGGAACCGAGGAATATGTGGGCGAAGCCTTCAATCCAATCCGAGCAACGGTGGGGAGCAGTGCTGGAAGTCTGTAAATGGCCCTTCCTCCTCCTCGCACGGTGCTCTGTGCCTCTGAGCCGCTGGAGGAGCCGTCCATGGAATCAGCTCTACTGTGAAAGTCCCTGTCATCCTTCCCAGAGACTACCCTTTCACCTGAAAGGAGTTGTGTCTCCATTTGGGGCAACTGGTGCCACCTTGGTTAACACTGCTTTCTTCTCCACCGTACCCTCTTTTCTGTGCCTACCTCTTTGGTCGCACGCTGCGTGATGCTTCGTTAAGGCTGGCTGGCAGCATCAGGACTGCAGAATGGAAAGAAAGCCAAGCTGAGAGCTTCCCATGCTCTGAGATTTTAATATGGCAAAAGAAGCAGAAGAGAGAGCAATAGGTATGTCTAAATTTTTAGTCTAGTCTACCCTTGATTGGCTTAGAGTAGACTTGGTAGTGTGGGTTAATGGTTGGACTGGATGATCTTAAAGGTCATTTCCAACCTAAACGATTCTATGATTCTATTCTATTCTATGAAACTATACTGCCCAAATTGGTCATGTACGCGTGATGCGTAGCTCTTCTTGCTCTAACATTAGCTGTTTTTCTCAGTTTGTGATGTTCTCCGTGTTTGCTGCTGACGGCAGCCCTAGCCATACTGATTTAGCTTGGTGCTCTGCATGCCAAAGAGCACTTTCAAAGCAGTGGGAATATGTGATCTTAGCATGAGCCTGGTGACATCTTCACAGAAAATAAGAAGTCATCAGCTATAGAGTCCACCTAACTAGAATTCTTTAGATGCAGATATAAAAGATTCTGGTGCTCTTTTCTTTATTACAGTTAATTTTAGGTCATCACACTCAAGGGACACCTGCTAACTTCAATACAGTCAACATGTGCTTAGTACGATATAATGAGCTACCCCTTTCCATTTGGGAATATATATTGATATATTATTGGTGGGAGGTGCCAGGCTGATGGAGACAGCACACAGATGTCCGCTGCCTACTTCCAGAATAAGAGCACTACAAGCAGCTGCGTAGCTGTTGTCTTCACACGGCTCCAGCAGCCAGACTCAGGCCTGACGAACTTCCATCCTTGCTCAAAACTGCCAAAAATGTTGGCTATTGCCCGACTGCTATAACTTTGCAAAAAGCGCCTGTGACCTTCAGGAACTGGAATGGGACTTAGAAATTGTTCCATTGAAGACTTCAGTCTCAACTAGTTACTAATGATCTGGCTCGCATTTGAACTCATAAAATGGGAAAAAATTGTCCATGAAAATAAAGTTAGACCCATTGCCCAGGCCCTGAGTCTTTCCCGTTTCTGTAGCAGTACAAAGGGGATTTAAAGGGCACTTCTGGATTTCCATGGCAGAAGGGAATCCCCTGTGAGGATAAAGCTGGAATCTTATGCCATCTGATCCTTCTTCCTTTTCTCCCCACATTAGGGATGTTCTGGGACGCATCCAGGGCAGAAAGGGACGTGGCCACAATATAGTGTTCTCTGACAACCCTGAGCCAGGAAAAGAATCCTTGGGGGTGATCCCAGCTGGCACGCATTAATGACCATTTGGCTGCTTTAACTTGCAGTAGGGGTGGATCAGCTGCAGGCCCAGAATGAAAGGAGGTGGACAGGTGGCTTCCAGCCACATTTGCCTTCCTCCCCCTTGTGCTTGTGGAGATCTACACCCTATATTTAAAAAAGCAAAAAATATGATGACTTTACCCATGTAGAATGTAACTGTGGCTGAAGCTTAAGTAGGTGTTTAGAGCTGTCCTTCCGTACAATGTTAGAGTAACAGGCAGGGGAGGGGACGGACACCTTCCTTTGTTACACGGTAGGGCCGTCAGTCCACCCTGTTGATCTGGACCCTTAATTTTGTAGGCAACGGTATGAGGTTAGTCGGTCTGAGATGATGAAGCCATGTCCAAAATAACTAGTTGATACACTCTGAAAGTAAACAGAAACTCCTTAAGCGAGCATTTGGTCGGTCTCATGATTTCCAGCATGAAACATGCCCTGCTAAAAGCTTTTTCTCCTCTTCCCTGTGTTACAGCCCCTTCCTTGGGCAGAGATGAGGCTGGAGCCATCCCCTGGTGCAAGGATCCGGAACGTTTCTGTGCATTCCCAGAGCAGCGACTGGGAACGTGCCAGCGGGGCGTTAGAGCCAGGCTGGCACGCTGGGTTTTTGTTCAGATTATGTGAAATGTATCACACAAGTAATTAATGGGTCTCTTCTCTACATCTGAAATTAAAACAATGTCACTTGCACGTACTTTAATTTTAGTTACTGACAACATGGGATTTGTTGAGTAACTCCTGCAAAACCTGTGTGCTATCCCACGCTTGGTACGGTTTGCCTGAATCTCTACCAGGGTGTAATGAATTTGTCTTCTGCTAATGGCTGTTTATGTTTGCCAGGCTGTGTTTTTAACGCTTTATCTGCTGTAAAACGCTCAACCCATTCTCTGCACGTTGTCAGAACACAGCCCTTGTACTTACCCAGATGCACTACTTTGCTTAACTTCCGTGGTTTTTCCATCTTGGCTGTTTTATGACCCACCTTTAGTCAAGCTTGCCTCCTGCCCCTCTGTTCGTGCATCAACAAAGCTTTCAGATACTGCTGGTGCAGACCTTGAGGTCTGAGCAATGCAGCTGTGATATCAGGGGCTGGACTAAGAGCAACCGGTTCACTTTGAGCTAGTGAAGAGTCCTTGGATATCCAAGATTTTCAAGAGTCCCTGGTCCCCTCATCATCCCCACTACCATCTCTTTCTGGGGGCAAAGCTTTAGCTCCGAATCGAAAATCCAACTCAAACAAGGTTCAAGACACATTGGCTGTTACTGGTCTGTTGACAATATTTATGGAAATGAACGTAACGCTTCTACAGTATGTATAGTTTATAAGTACTGTTCAGCTCATTGAAAAGGTTAGCACATACTGGAAAAGTATAAATCGACATGAAAGTTCCTTCCTGTCTTGCAGAAGTGATGATAAAGAATAAATTATTGAAGAAAATTAAGCAGCATAATTGGGGAATATTCCCCTATTACTAAGTAAAGCCAGCCATTAGCATCCGATTTGCATTTTATACCGTGCAGCAGGAAATGTTTAAGTTGACAAATAGGATATTTAATACAGCAACAGATACTTGGCAGTTAGATATTAACAACTGTTACTGATGTGATTTATTCACCATTATAAAAAGGGCATTACTATGTGCATATGATTCAGAAATTAACTCCAGTTTACCAAGAGGCCTTGACTGCCTGACCTCTTAATATCCTTATAATGACGCCATTTACCATTCAAAGGCTTATTCAAGTCACTCACTGCTAGATTTGTTTTAAAGGGGTCCACTGTAGGGCAGATATTTGCGTGCGTTAACATTTCTCATTGGCGTAGTAGGCATGAGCATTTTTTAAATGGGAAAAACTCACGGGTACAGCCATGCTCAGGTTATTGGGGGCGGAGGAGCCTCGCCAAAGCAGTCCCCGGTACCTCCTTCCGCTACGCCCTCGGCATGGACTGGCCTCACAAATCCTGCCCGACTCCTGCGTGCTTTAATGCTTTGAAATCTTATTGAGGTTTACAGGAGGCTTTTTCCACTGCCTGCAAGTACATCTTGTACAAGGGTGGGGTGGGCTTCCCTTCCGCCTGCCCGTGGGACACGTCCCGCTGGCAGCCCTACAATCTTACGGTCTGATTTCTTGTGTAGTTACGCGAGTTTAAATCTGAATTAGCGCCACGCCACAAAACAGCAGCGTGAGTGGAAGCAGAACCATGCCACGCATCATATGGATTTCTACATGCCGAAGTATCCGCTGCTTGATAAGGCCATGTATTGCAACAGGAACGGGCTTTGCTCAACCCCTGCGATGACCGATACGTATTCTTACACGTGGATTCCACACCTCCCAAATCCTTTTACTCAGTTTAGCTTTGCCTTCTGGAACTTCCCTTTTTCTATCTCAAAATACCTATTTGTAACTCAAGGTTGACTTTATTTGACCTTAATTATTCTTCAGCTGAAAAATCCAGGTGTGATATTTAGTATTTAGATAATTACCTATTTAATGTGATACAGGCTTTACAGCTGTTGAGCTCATCTATCTACTTTTTCTAATCGTTGCTAAAATCTTGGTAGTACAGGTCACTGTTTTGTCCTTAGCCTTTCGGTTTTCTCTGAAAAGTTACTTTTGAAGTTATGAAAGAATTCTGATTGTTCTGGTTTGGAAGTGGTTTATCGCTGCCAACGATGCACCAGCACAAGGAAAAGATAAGTATGCATACCAACATGCATGAAAATAAAGGCATAGATGTTCCTTTACATGACTGCTGAGTTTCACCCTTCTTGTCCTCTTTTTCCTTTTTTTCTTTTTTACTTTGTTAATTTTAATGCACCTGTTTGTGTTTTAATTAGGTATGGGCAACAGACCTTGACCTTTGCTATAGTGACCAGCTGGCCTTGACTCAGCTCATGTTGTACGTGACAGATGGAAATCTGGATTGTCGCTCTAGCCGCTTCGAAGTATCTCTTGGTTCAAGTAAAATGAAAAGCCAACGCATTCAGCATGAGAAGACACAAACTGTAAGCAGTGATTTGTTTACAAACAAAATTATTAATTTAATTATATATTAT